ATTGGTGGGAAGAAGCATTCGAACATGCTATGGCTCAATGGCATTTTAGCACTTGTCCTGCTATGAGCATCTCACATCAATTTATTCATTCAATCTCTTGTACATCAATTAGGGTGTTTCAGGAGCTTTGGTCCTTCTCTGGGCCTGTCCTCGTTAGGCGCATCTGTCTTGAGCATTTTTTGAAGAAAGGTTGTTTGGGAGTCTATTTGGAAGGAGTGCCAGCCGTCATGAGCAATTCTCGCTTTCTTCTCAATTTTCCTCCAGCTCAACGGTTTCAATGATGCGAAGCAATTTCTGAGGATTCGTCAGTCCAGTCTTGGGCAAACATCATTGACAAGTGTATGGTTACGACCGTTTCACCGCATCCACTTGCTTTTAGTTGCCTAGTGAGACCATTTAAGTAGGTCATATTGCTATGGAATTTGAACATATACACAATTAGATTTATCTATCATCATTGTTTTCTAATAATCAAAGGTAATAAATCTGCGCTATTCTGTTTTCAAGGCCCTTTAGCCTTCGATAACGATGAAAAACAGCTATGTTTCGCTAGATATAATGAGAAATGCCCATCGTTCTTCCATCTGTAAGGTCAAGCGCAGAATTTTTTGCCATTATCGTACATTCACTATTGTCATCCCTGTGAAAGAACAATGCCAATTCTCACGCCAAAAGTACAGTTTAATCGTACTAGCACAATTTATCGTTCTATCATTTTTTGCCGCTTAGCAAAACTGCAGATCACTTAAGGTTCTTGATATTTGCTCGTTTGAATTGCGCATTTTGACGTAGGATGTATTTGCTGCAAAGAGGAAAGAACAAATTTGATCAAAGATAGTTATATTATTGTAATTTAATTTTTTTGCTAAAAGCCCGCTTAACTGCGAGTTCAACGAGTTGTATGGGAAAATATAAGCCTGAATGCATGATGATTCAAGTTTTGTAGCGACGACGCTCATCAGCGGTGCTCTGAATTCATCAGTAAAGGGAAGCTGTATCAGCTGGCGGTTAGAAACAAAGCCGTGGCATTCCAGTAAACACAGTTTGAACATGGAAGAGCTTCGAGTGCGTCTCACCGATGAAAAAGCATAGCTGCTTAATGATACTGGACATTCATGAACAATCGATTCGCACATCCAAATAGACCAAATACCCAGGGAAAAGCCTTCTCTTTGGAAAGAATTATACATCACGTTGAACCGTTGAGTGAAGCGTATTATGAAGTCAACAGTCGCCATTCGCCTCTGGCCTGCTGTCAGAACATGCATATTTGCATGCAATATGGTACCAACTAACGTACACCACGGTACACCTATGTATCGGTCATTGTGTCCTTGCTCTTCTGCAATGAGATTTCGAAGTTTAAAACAGGCATTGCGATAGCTTTCGAGATTATTACTTTACTCTAAATGAATGATTTGAAGCGAAGCGTTATCGATCGAGCTGTCATTGTTTCTGACGGTGTTTCGGCGACATTCGTACGAACAGGATCCTCAATGGCAGCACTTCTCCTCTGCATAGGAACCTTTCAGTTTGTTTATCACCCAACAGGTTTCAACGTGTCACGCTGCATGCGAGGGCTAACATTTATCACATATCTGTGATCCTAGCCTCCGGACGATTGTGAAAGATTCTGACAGTGGCAGACCACCTACAACGCGTTCATTCCCTTGGGTTCAGCTAAAATGTTCACGTTCCCTTTTCCCTTCCTGCTTTTGTTCTGCTATGCTTATTACTTGTTTTTGTTTCTGTTCAGCCTTGTTTAAATTTGATTTTATTCGATTTCTCGTCTTTCTAAGCAAATGTCATTAATGGGCGGGGAACACTGGAGCAATGGATTAGCGGTTCGTTTTCCACTTCAGACCCGCGTTTAAACCCAACGGGCGGCGTAAGCGTTTACTCATTACTGTTAAGTTCATGGACCGAGGAATTCACCCACTGTGTTTCCATGCAACCACCCAATAAACGGATAAGAGGTCGTTGACCTACGAACAATAAGCAGGGCATGGTGCGCTGGTGTGGTCAGGCAAAGACCTGCGAGTCATACTGCCACGTTATCTGTTCGTGCCCCATCCGGCTGCAAGTCGCCTAGACCTATCTGACTGCTGATTAAAATTCTGCACAAAATGTAAACACAAA